ACACATTTTGGGATGGGAGGCCCATTCCTCACCAGAACCAAGGAAAAGAGTGACAAGAGTCCCAGAATGCCAATCTGGCTTTCTCCTCGCGAACTTAAGCATCCGTTTATCAGAACCGGCGCCACCAGGCCGGTCCACCACCCACACCTGCCTATATGAACGCCCAGAAAGGAGGGGTTACGTTTCCGGGGGAGCGCAGCGTTCACGGAGAGGTTCTCCTCCTCCTCGGGTGAAGGAGGTGGTCCTCTCACGCCACCCCAAGAACCGCCCCAACGAAACTGCTCCAGTGTGTAGGTGTCTGTTTGTAACACTGGCCTTTGTCTTTGGATCTCTGCCTCCTGCTCTGCTTTTCAGTCAAGAGGTCCCTGGAGTCCCTGTCTCAGAGCCTGCGGGACTTGGGGACGCAGCGCTGGAGGAGGTGGCCTCTGCCAGGGGCTCGGGGGCCCACAGCGGGGCCAAGTGAACCGGACGAAGGTGGAGACTCACGAAGCCAGGCTCAGACCGGGGGAGACAAGGTGCCATCGCTGTCTGGGCCAAGCCGTGGGGGACCCGCCTCTTCCGGCCGCCGCACGTGGAACTGGAGACTGGCCAGGTGGGGTCTTCCCGCTTCCCCAGCGGCAGCTGTCGGCCTCCCACGAGAGGAGGCCCACGCTTCCTTGTTGGGGAGTCGGATTCCAGCCCACTGCCGTCGTCGCCCCAGCCGCCGGCAACCCCACCTGCTCCCTGCCTGACGCACCTGTTCTGGAAATGGAAGCTTGAACATGCGGCCTTTCGTGTCTAGCATCTTTCACTTAAGACATTTCTGAGGTTCATCCATGTTGTTGCAGTAGTAGTGTTTTTGTTTTTATTTTTTTGCTGAATAGGATCCTGCTGTATGAATGTGTCACATTTTATTTAGCCACTCACCAGTTGATGGATATTTGAGTTGTTACACTTTTGGGGTTATTTATAAATCACGGTAGGAACATCTGTCTATAAGTTTTTATGTGGACATGTTTGGGAGTGGAATTGTGGTTTTGTAGGCTAATTTTTTTTTTTGAGAAACAGCCTGAGAGTGAAACATGGATCATCAGCTGCCTCTATCCGGCAACCTGGGCATGTGCCCTGACTGGGAATCAAACCAGCAACCTTTGGGTGCATGGGACAATACCCAACCAACTGAGCCACACCAGCCAGGGCAATGTAAACAAATTTTAATGGCAAACTCAAAATTCTTTATTATATTTAAAAGGGAATGTTTGATACAAAAGCCAGCTCATTGAAACTAAAATTAACTATAGTTGAAGGAGTTTCTAATTGAAGTTCTTGTTAACTGGGAATTAACCATTCTTTCACTCATGTTTGAAACTTACTGAGCTAGACATACTAACCATTTGATATTAGGTAGTTAACCAAGCACCATTGGTTTTATTTGATGACTGGTAGTCTTGCTCTGTAGTGAATGGGGCCGAAGGTACAGACATAAAGATATACTTTGAAATTTTTTAAGTTGACTTGACTGAATTCCTGAAACTAAGCTTTGTTTTACTTGTGTTTTTGTCTTAAAAAGAGAAAACTTTTTTTTTTTTTTCTCTTTTTAAGTGTGTGGTACCCAGTTTTACACAAAATAGTAAGGAAGGGCTCAAAAAATACTGGAGACATGTCAGGGGACACAGGCACCCGATTGAATACATGTCAGTTCTGGGCATGTTTACCATCAAAGTAAGTAATGAGCATTTATAATATAAAATAGTGTTCCATAGAGCCCATACTAATATAAATAAATGAACAAATAATTATTGGTGAAAGGAGAGCTCTACCTTATATTAGAACACTAATAAGTGTAGAAAGAATAATGTTTGTTTTTGTTTTGTAATCACCATTTGGCTTTCACCACAGTAATACTTAATTCCGGCAAGAATAAATCTGTGCTGAAATTGGTGGGTATAAGTGTGGTTAAAAAAAAAGGAAATTTACATAGTTTCAAACTATCTCCTAATAAAACACATAAATTGCTTATTAATTTATAAGTATCAAATACAAATTAACTAACTTCAGAATGGAAAAAATTGGAAAACACCATCTTAACCAAGTAATAAAGGTTACCATCACCAGAAACAGGACAAATTGACATCATGTTCCTTCTGATAAGATGCCTTGAGAACACAGCATTATTTATTAAGTATTCTTACCAAAAATGAATAATCCTTGGGGGGATAAAAAACAACTGTGCAGTTTTCTACAAAGTAACTGCCTTGTACTTTTATTTTTTTTAAATGTAACAAATGTTGATTTAAAAAAATTTTTTTTTTCCTTTATTGATTTTAGAGAGAAAGGAAGTGAGAGGGAGATAGAAACATTGATGAGAGAGAACATAGATTGGCTGCCTCCTGCATGCCCCTCCCTGGGGATCAGGCCCACAACCTGGGCATGTGCCCTGACCTGGAATTAAACTGGCAACTTCTTGGTGCATGGGTCGACGCTCAACCACTGAGCCACATCAGCCTTGTACTTTATTATATAAACTCCATACTTTATTTAGATTTCTTTAGTTTTTAGCTAACCTCCTTTTTCAGTTCTAGGATCCTATCCGGGTGTTAATGTATCAAATTATTCATTTTGGGAGACCAATATATTTTTTCTATTTAATTATAGAAAGTTTATGTCATTTTTGAAATTTATCTGCTAAAAAAAAGTAATAATCCTAAGAGCCTTAATCTGGTTTATGTTTTAAAAATTGCAATGTTAGATCTATGTATAAGGATATGGAGTACATCATGATTATAGGTTAGTAGTTGCTTGGTTGAGATTTATTTTGCCTGCCTGTTTTTACTGAATGGTTTATTTCCCATCTCATCGAAAGTATGAATATCTGGTTTGATGTCACAATTCAGCTTCTTAGAAATTTGTTTAATTTATTTTTAATGACTAACGCCTGAATCTTTGGTAACCTTGTCCATGACAGAAAAAAAAAAAAAGAAAATAAAATGGAATAGGCTTTGTTTTGGGGGTATTCAAGTCTAACGTATTACATACACGCACCTCCGGGAGGTACCATCCCCACTTCCTCGGTGAGACATGAAGACCAGAAGAATTTGATGGTCAAGACTTTGATCATGGAAATCTGAGTAAGTCAACTCCAAATCCCAACTCTGCTCTTTCACTTGCAGCCGAACCTTGGACAGATAATTCAGCTGCCTTCAACTTCAAGAAAACAGGGAGACAGTGCTACCTCCCAGGAGGTAAGCACATGAAATAATTCCCATAGTCCTGACATGTAACAGTAAGCCCTTATAAATAATGTTGGATGCTATTATTACAATATATACCCAGCTGAAAACTTTAACCCAAATAGGCTGCGGAACATCTAACCCTAATGTATGGAGAAGAGCAGAAGTTAGGCTTTATCAACTCTTTATTCAGGAATGTGAAACACACTTCATTTCTTCATTTCCCATAGCCTGTCTCAGTGGCTGCCACTCACTTCCTCTCCCCCACTCAGAAATGTCACTCTGAACACTCACAGTCTATGACCACGGTACCCATCTGTTTAATTAAAGGACTATGTCTTCACAAATAATTTCTCAAAGCAAACTTGGTGCTTGAAACACGATAGAACTTGCAAATAATTTGGATGGCGATGACAATAGAGAAACATACAGACTACCCGAGAGAGCGCTGAACAATAACAGAATTTGGGGAAAATAGTAGGAGCAAAGGGTTGCTTTGAGCAATAGAAATTGAGACTGATGAATCACTTTTCTTTCTGATGGGGGCTCACTACTTAGAGCCAAAATACTCTCAGTGAAACCATAGCCATTTCCCATCCTCTGACGACACCTGTCTTCCCTCTTTGAAAGCTATTATCTCCCTTTTAATTCTTATATAGTTTACAGAATACAATGTTTATGATCAATCCTCCTTCCTAGCTGTCAGTTTGCCCTTGTAGATTTCACATGAGTCCAAAAATTATTTATAAAGCTTTACTAGAAACATGATACTATCTAGCCCTAGCCAGGTAGCTCGGTTGGAACATTGACCACATATGCCGCCAAGGTTGTGGGTTCAACCCCTTGTCAGGGCACATAGAAAAATCAATCAATGAATGCATAAATAAGTGGAACAAAAAGTTGACGTCTCTCCCCCTCTCTCCCCCTACTTCTCTTTAAAGTCAATAAATAACTTTTTTTTTAATCCCCACCCCAGGACATTTTTACATTTATCTTCGGATAGAGCGAGAGGGAGAGAGAGAGGAAGAGAGAGAAAGAATCATCAATGTGAGAGAGACACATCGAGTGGTTGCCACCCACACGACCCCAACCTGGGCCGGGGACAAACTGCAACCGAGGTATGTGTCCTTAACGGGAACTGAACCTGGGACTCTCTGGTCCGTGGACCGACGCTCTAACCGCTAAGCCAAATCGGCCAGGGCTCAATAAATAACTTTGAAAAATTATTGATCAAAAACACGGTACTACTTATATAAAGTGTTGTAGAGTTTATAAAGATTAGTAAAATGATATAGTTTTGCCTCATTCGAACAAAGATCAGCAAATTGTGGCCCAGGGGTCAAGTCTGGCCATGTCATTTATTTACACGTTGTCTATAACTTTTTTTTTCTAATTTTTTTTTCTTTATTGATTTTTAGAGAGAGGGAGATAGAAACATCGATGAGAGAGAGAGCATCGACTGGCTGCCTCCTGCATGCACCCCACTGGGGATCAGGCCCACAACCTGGGTATGTGCCCTGACCAGGAATCAAACTGGCAACCTCTTGGTGCATGGGTCGATGCTCAACCACTGAGCCACACCAGCCAGGATATGTTTATGTTTTTGTTTTTGTTTTTTAAATATAACAGCAGAGTTGTGTTGTTGTGACTAAGATCAATGTTTTTCAAATCTTAAAATATTTGCCATTTTGGCACTTGACAGAAAAATATTGCCAGTCTCTATAAGAGATGCAAGTATAACAAAAATATGCTATTTTACTAAATGGTAATAAAAAGCTATAACTAAAGAATTAAAAGAATTCAGAAGGCCGGAGAGGTCACTTTCAACAGGATTGTTTCAAGAAAACTCTTACAAAGATTTGCAAAGGTCTTTTCATCTTTACCATTCTAATCTGCATGTGTGTTTTATAGAAATCACAGTCCACACACCTCCAGGATATCTCCTAACCACATGCTTCCTTTCCAGTTGGTAACCCTGCTCTAAGAGACCAACTGAGGAAGAGAATTTGGAGACAAACGCTGTAATTAACGGCATTCTCTGGAACGGTGCCTTAAGTTGACCTTAATCTTTTCTGTCATTTGATATTTAATAATTTAGCATCAAGAAAATGAGATGTTCTTTTCCTTCCAAAACAAAGTCACATGACTATACAACATATTGATTTGCAAGGATTATTCTTGTGTTAAGCTTCTCATCTGTGTGCATTCCTTTTTTCCAAAGTTGCATAAGACAAAAAAGCTAGAGAGATTAGTGAGAAGTCTAGTCTTAAAAGATAAAAAGTAATCTGGTAAAACCAGAGAGGATATATTACATTAACATGTCTAGGGGAGCTATTTCAAAGGCATTTAAAAACTACATTTACATAAAAAAATGTATTGCTGTATTGCATAAAGACATTTTTGCTTACATGTACATGTAAAAATACCTTGAGTTCAACAGTGAAAGCTGCTGTTGTATTACCTTTTGCTGTTATCAGACCTGGCTACATGTTCACATCCTGCTTTATGTATTTACAACCTAGGAGAACTGTGAACTCCAGTTTTCAGAAAACACCCAAACCAGTATATTTATAAGAGAAAATAAGTGTCTTATTTAAAATAAGCTATAAAAGAATGAGCTATAACATGTAAATCTTTAAGTATTGTAAATTAGGCAAAAACAAACAAATACTGAGGGATGGGAGCAGACAAACAAAACCAAACAAAACCTTCTAAACTGAGACAATTAATCCAAATTCCTATAACTGCTCTCCCGATGTAAAGGGACGAAGGGAAAAAGGACGTTTCAAACGCAAAGACTACAGTGTTTTACTATTTCAACATAAAATTCCTCCCAAACTCTCTTATGTACATGATCCTAGAATAAGCTTCTCACTTCCTAGGTTATTAAAAATGTGTACATTTAAAAATAAATATATACAGTATTTCAAAACAAAACCCTTCAAGACCATATTTAAGCAATGGCATCCAAGGAACTCAGACCCATGTAACATTCAGCATGTCTGGCATCTCAAAGATCAAATATTCTTTCTTGCTTGTTACTCTGGTCTTCATTATACACAGGTTGCTTCTAAGGTCGTTTTCTTAGAGCCAAGCATCTTGATGGACCAAACTCAGTTTCACTTTCTCCAGTACTACAAAAATTAACAAAAGATAAAGATACAAAGAGAAAATAATTAGCTTCACTGTTCACAAATAAATATAAACAGTCATAGTTATATAAAAATCACCTACATTTAACTGGTGCCTACTGTGTGGCAGGTACAGTTCGGGTTCTGTGAGACCCCAAGTCACTTAAGACAAAATGTTTACATATAGAAAAAGTCGTAACACACCCACCCACCGAAATATCGGGTAACTGGACGGGGAACTCATCCTAGGGAAAGAACAAAGGTGTACTGCTTGAGGGGCGGAGCAGAGGGGTTCCTTTGTATTGCTGGCAAGAGAAGATAAAAGTTGAATTGCAGTTAAAGCCAAATTGTGAAGGGTCCTTGCTGATATGTTAGAAAATCCTGGAAACAATGAAAACTGCCCAAGCATGTATGCATGTGCGAGAAACGCTGCCCCTGAACAGGCGGCTCTGATACATTTCCTAAATATTTCAGAGTGTCTGTGTCTGCGGAAAACAAATTAGTGGTAACTATGTAGCAGAGCCAGTCCCAAATACTCAGCTCCCCATACAAGTGAAGAATGTACATAAAAGGGTTTGATATAACACAGAGGGGCAGGAAAACAATAGTTTAACAACTAACCTTATGAAAAGCAGTATATTGAAGCAAACAGGCAAATCTTACCATGGATTACAGTTAAGTGGTTGAAAACTTTCCTTAGATAAGTTAAGGAAATTAAATTTATACAGATGAAAAATAAACTGCAGGAGAGTTTTGCTGAAAAGTAGGGGATATTCTGCTGACCATTGCTATTACAATTATTAACTGACCTTAAGTCCTTAAAACATCTGTAATGTAGCAGGTGCCTACGTTATGTGTTTTAAACGCCAAGGGTTTAACGGGCTATTGGTCACAGTGCTGACTGCAGTGCAACGGGAGAGCACATGTGGGCCCATAAAAGGTAAGACTTTGGCCAAAGTGCAAAATAAATGTTATCCCGTATTTATCCTATTCATCTCAGATTATCCGTTTTCAATTTCTCCTTTTTATATTGTACTCCATGAGCTGTTTGCACAGCTGATTTTTTCTTTTAATTGTCAGATGAAAGACTGAGTCAAGTTAAAAGATCATTTAAAACATTTACGTGTGTGTGTGTGTGTGTGTGTATATATATATATTTTTTTCTCACTTGACATTTTTCCATTTTTTATTCAGATAGAGCGGGAGGGAGAGAGAGGAAGAGAGAGAGAGAAAAAGAAACATCGACGCGAAAGGAACACATGGAGTGGTTGCCACCCACACGACCCAACCAGGGCCAGGGACAAACTGCAACCACGGTACATGCCCCCAGCGGGAACCGAACCTGGGCCTCTCCGGACCACAGGCCGACGCTCTAACCGCTGAGCCAAACCAGCCAGGGCTACAAGTATATTTTTAAACACCAGATACAATAAAATTCATTCACATCTAATAAAATTTAGATGTAGAATGAAAAACACGTTATTTAGAAGCTATTGTCTATTTATACAATCCAGAGTTTGAGTTTGAATTTGGATTTTGTCACCTATTAACTCTGAGACTGTGTCAAGTTATTTAACTTGCTCAAGCCTCAGTTTTTTCATCTATAAAATGGGCTTGGTGATCCACCTACTTTACAGGTGTGAAGATTAAGAGAGGTGATACAGAGAAAGCACTTTACATAATTCTTGGCACATTTAAGTGATGAATATGCTGTTATTGTTACTATTACTGTTGCCTTTTTTGCTGCTGCTGCTGTTCTTATTCCTCCCAGGGTAATTGGAATAAATTAGGAATAGATTAAGACATAAAATGATACCAAATAGTCCTGTATGATATGCTGGCATTCTATTATTTATTCAAGCTACTGGTCTGGGAATTGACTCTTTAGAAAATTGTTTACTAAATTAAAAAGCATTTGGTTTTAGAGCAGAAGAATTTCTATTCTTCCACAGCATTCTATATGTTCTGTTTTGTTCAATGAACTATTTTACACAGCTGTTCTTCATTCCTAATGGTAAAACAAGGTCCCATAACATAAACTCAGACTTGCCGCCCTGTGCTCCCCTCCGTCTTCTGCAGCCATGCCTTTCACAGCGGGCGAGGGAGTGCTGCACTTCCTGTGCACACATCCACACTGCGCTCAGGTCAGCACAGAAAGGCAAAACAGGACATAAACAAAACCAAAAAAAATCGAAAACAGGAAGCGTTTCCCCCTAGAACAGTAGTGATGCAAAAAAACGAAAACAAACCAAACCCCCAAACAACAACAAACCCCTCTGCTGCTCTGGGCAGACGATGGGGCCGCCGGCTGCAGGCAGAGGCCGCGCTGTACGCAAACGAGAACCTGCAGCACTGGAATCACGTTCCACATGGGCAGGGTCCTGTCACGGGAGGCACTTGGGATCTGGAACACTTCGGAGGGGAGCTCCTCTCACACTGTTGAGGGCTTACGCTCCTCAGGGAAATGTCAGGCAGAATAACCACATCATTTTCCTTCTTTCATTTTTTTTTTTTTAAATCCCCCAAGGACATATAAATTCTCTTCAGTTTAGGAACTATAAGATGTTACTGCACATTGACACGCCCCTGTGCCTGGACCCATGCTTTCCTCCTTGACTACCACAGGGCAGGCACTCTTGCCAAATGGACAGCAGTGATGCATCTTAGTATCCTGAGCGGGAACTTAGGTAAATGTTCTGAACCTGAAAAAATACATCTTTAACCCCAGTTGGTGTACCAAGATTCATTTAATTAATTTAATATGTATTAAGATTGATGGAGACCCTACCAATTCTCCAGACTTCTACCATCAATCGGTGAGGGGAGACACAGGCAGGAAAAGAAATAGGGAAGAAATGGGCTGTGGCGTGAGAATCCGAGTGTTAGAGCCCCCAAACTAAATGATCTGCACCGTTCTGTGCGGGAAAGACTAGAAAGCTCATTTCAGCAAGGAGAAGAGTTCTGCTGATGTCATTTCAAAGACAGTGACCCAAATGCACACGTTTTTCAAAGAAAAAGTTGTACCACTAATAGGGTGTTGCTAGGTAGCAAATATTGCAGTGTTTAATCTTCACCCTTCCTAGGGAATGGCATGGTGGAAGACAATAAAGTAAATTTCAGCATTTCACATAACAGTTGTATCTGGCAATGTTTAAGTCTTCTTTTAGAGTATCAGTTCTTTTAAGCTGAGACAACTGACAACTATAACTTTTGTTAACATATGTACCAGTCTACCTCCATTAAAAGAAACTGAGTTCTGTAATTCAGTGATTAACAAGAAGGCACTAAAATTAGCACAAGTCAGCTAGCAATATGCATCCTTATAATAGATGCTGAGTGACAAAAGATGTTAATCATCAGAATTTGAGTGTGTATGTGATTTATTAGTATCAATATCTAAAAATACATGCAGAAATGTGAGTTTTGAAAAGAAAATACACTTCAGAGATTAGTTAAGAACCAGGTCTTTCTTTAATTTTATAATTTGATCAGAGACTTATGTGAAGCTAAGACCTTATATGGTATCTAGCTCTTGTACTCTTCAGCGCCTAATCAAGTTCCAACGAAATTTAACACCCTACGTCACTCTTATTTTGATATTGTTTCAGTGGCACAATAGTATGGGCACTGGTGACACATTTAAGAAAACCTAAAAATTAACATGAGCATTTTCAAGTTCATGTCTTAGAATAAAGAATATGGGATTCTGGCCCTGGCCGGTTTGGCTCAGCGGTTAGAGCGTCGGCCTGCGGTCCTGAGAGACCCGGGTTCGGTTCCCGCTAAGGGCATGTACCTCGGTTGCAGTTTGTCCCCGGCCCTGGTTGGTCGTGCGGGTGGCAGCCACTCGATGTGTTCCTTTCACATCGATGTTTCTCTCTCTCTCTCTGTTCCTCTCTCTCCCTCCCACTCTACCTGAACAAAAAAATGTCCTCGGGTGAGGATAAAAAAACAAAAAACAAACAAACAAAAAAGAATATGGGATTCTGGCCAAGAAGACCTAAATTTGATAAGCTAAAAGCTTTTTTTTTTTTTTTTTTAAATGTGGTTTACTTTTCTCATCTATAAAAGGGGATAATGCTAAAACCCACTTAGATGGTTATAGAAAGAATTATATGATATTAAAAAATGGGGAGGCACTATATGAAGTTCAAAGTTCAAATAGAGGCTACTGCCTCAGATTTTGTTATAAAGTGGAGAGCTGAGATATCTGAAAAACATTTGTCTACATAAACATCCATGCCACATCAAACCCCCACTTTTACCAGTCCAGAATGACAATGGTGGTCTTAAGTTGCTGGAATCATCCAGGTATTTGCTCTTAATTCGTATCCATATTGTTATTGTCTTGTCTTTTTCACACTATTTTGTTATCAAGAATATACTGTAAAATAATTTGTAACAACCAAGGGTGAAGTAATTTAAAATAATTATTCAGAATTTCTATATCTTATTGATTTTACTAAGAACTAGAAAATAGGAATCTAGGAAATAGACTTAATGCTCTGTCCAAGAAATATAATCATCGATTAGCTAATGATTACAAAATGATCTTTCCCAAGTTTATTTTAAGAGTATGCCTATCTCTATTACTAATTCATCATCCATATTCATGTTTGCTCTAGAAATAGAAAAAGTAGACAGCAAAAACTCTTAGTTCTGAACAACTTCATAATTTAACAATTGGGGCAGGGGAAATTTCCTTTATTTTGTCTGTTTGGTAATCAATATTAGCTTTATATATAGAAAGCAATTAACTTTTGTACACCTCTGACATTAGATTAATTTTTTGCTACTTTTTTACCTCCATTATCAATTACTTTAGAGATTTGGAAACCGAGGTCCAGAAATATTGGTAAACCAAGGTCCCTTTCTTACCACCTCCGCAAATAATAGTATAGTCCTTTAAAAATTATTTTGTTAATCCTCACCTGAGGATATTTTTTCCATTGAATTTTAGAGAGTGGAAGGGGGTGGGGAGGGAGAGGGAGAAACATATCCATGTGACAGAGACATACTGACTGGGTACCTCCCGCACACGCCTGACGTGACAGAGACACTGACTGGGTGCCTCCCGCACACACCCGACGTGACAGACACACGCTGACTGGGTGCCTCCTGCACATGCCCGATGTGATAAGAGACACACGCCCTAACCAGGGCTGGGGACCGAACCTGCCCAGGCACATGCCCCTGACTGGGAATTAAACCCATGACCCTCTGATCCACAGGCCAATGCTCCAACCCCTGAGCTACACCAGCCGGGGCAGTATGGTCCTTTTTTTAATTAGACTCTTACTCTCATCTATTTTTAATACTGACAATTAAGCAAAATAGTCCTACTAGTCTTAGGTCCAGGTAGCAAAGCAAAACACATAACTTATGCAAAATGACAACAGAATTTCAAAACTAGACCACCAGTTCATTTTATGGAACGTAAAAGCTCCAGCCTTAAGTTGGAGCACAGTTGATGAGTGGCAGCTAAATCTTCAAAAACAACACTTCATTCCTCTGCTCCCTGCATGAGCACCCCCTCTCCCATCCAGAGGCAGAATTTACTCTTCTCCCCGTGAATCTGGCCTGGCCTTGTGACTTGGCTTAAGAGGCCTTCTGCTTCTGCTTTCTCGGCCTCTTGGGGAAGCAGGTGCCACGCAGTGGACCAGCAGCTGGGGATAGAGTACTGCGCGGTTAGACTATCGCTAGCCCTGGACAAGATCAAAAGTCACAATTCCAAGTATGATTTCTATTGCATGTGTATCAATTTTGTACCATCATAAAATTTAAAAATCTTTATTTGAGCCATCATAAGCCAAGGAAACCATCTATACCTTACAACGTTAGTAATCAGAAAAAGATAATTTAAGAAATGATTAAATACCCGAACAGGCTTGATGACATACTGGATACTTGACAAGTCCAAGCAGACGGGCTCTGAGCTTAGGACATTAGTAAAGGTATTACTAACTGTGTTAAGAAGTCAGGAAGGAGTTCACAGAGAGAGGTGTGTGAAGGTGTGGGAGAGGGAAGAGACCTCTGTTTGCTAACTATTTTCATAAGCATAACTATAAAATTCATAATTAAAACTGGTTTCAAATCTGAGGTTTACCATCATCAGCTAGTGGGAAAAGGTCTTCCCTCAGCCAGACATTTGTATGGAAGATGTTGCTAACAGCAAGTCTACAGATAGACCTTTTCAGTGCATGGTATGCATTGCTTTTCTCGGCCTCAAAATCCTTTCCTAGACCTTCACCATTCACCAAACCTTAACAAGTGTTAAAGTCACACTTGCTAAGGCCTCTACTAAACCCAAAAGCATCCTCAAGAAGGGTTTATAATCACCACTGACTACAGAGGACAAAGACAACAATGTTGACACTCCACAATTTACTACACAATTTTACATTCCACTAAGAAAACGTGAGTCAAATGTTTTAGAGTTAATTGTGCATGGAATATTTCACATCAGCTGGCTGGTGAGATGTCAAAAAGGCGTGACCACAAAACAAACAAAAACAGGAGACATCAACTGGCACGAGAAGAGTGTGCTCTGAGCACTCTGGAGTGGCCGTGGAGAAGCTGAGACAAACGCGCTGGCCTCAGGGAACTTACCTGGGCAAACTTGTGAATCTGTTCTACCACCGCAGCAAACAGAGCGTGGACACTCTCATCAATCAGACTCTGCATGTAATGCACCGCCTCCTCATCTGACAGGTCTAGACGAAATTTATCCTGAACCTACAACAACAACAACAAAAGACATATTTCAAAGATACAGAATTAAACTGATACAGACATGACATTACGAGCTATTTCTATGCCAAATTGTAAGTTTCTATTTTGTAATTTATAATTAGTTCTGAATACTGTTCATTTGAGTGTAGGAATTTACTGTTTTTGCTATATGCTCTTAAAAAAATTTTTTTTAATTATTTATTTTAGAGAGAGGAGGGAGTGGAAGGAAGAGAAACAGAAAGAGAGAAATATCAATTTGTTGTTCCACTTATTTACGCATTTATTAGTTGATTCTTTTTATTAAAAAAATTTTTGTTCTTTATTAACTTTAGAGAGAGAGGAAGGGAGAGAGAGAGAGAGACAGAAACATCAATAAGAGAGAATATCGATTGGCCGCCTCCTGCATGCCCCCTACTGAAGGTTTAGCTCACAACCTGGGCATGTGCCCTGACCAGGAATTGAATTGGTGACCTCTTGGTGCCTGGGTCAACGCTCAACCACTGACCCACACTGGCCAGGCTATTAGTTGATTCTTGTATGTGCCCTGACTAGGAATTGAACCCGCAACCTTGGCATATCAGGACAATGCTCTAACCAACTGAGCTACTGGCCAGCGTGCTATATGCTGTTTATGTAATACTATCCTTGTTGGTTGCAAACATTTTTTAGAAAAAGAAATAGAAATATTAATGTTAATCCCTGTAGATATAAAAGTAGATATAAAACTGTTCTTTTAATTAAAGGCATTTGAAATCTAGAACTAAGTTATAAATTGTGATATTTATTAATAATTTTCTTTACTTTTTCCCAGTTATTCTTTGTGAAATGGATATAGCAAGGTGAGATTATATTAATATCCTCCCTCACCTTCACTGCCTATACAAGAATAAGAACTAGGTCAATCACTGGCAAAATAAATGAATCTACATCTTCTAAAATGCCTCCTTTCCTATACCAGTTCCCAGTACGTCTTCAAAGAATAACTTCAGTTGGTCTATAACTTCCAAAGCCGGGAATTTTTGAAATTCATTTAAAGTTACAGTTGATTCTCAATAAGTACTAGAAAAATAAGAAGACATAGATGTGACAATGTTCCCTAAAATATAAAGTCAGTTACTGAATGACTACTTCATGCAAAACACTGCAAGCTTTTTTTCATTGACAGCGGGTCACATTTTTCTTTCTTCCCATAGCTAGTAAATTTTTGTTAGATACTAGATATTTTAATGTTATGAAGACTCCTAATGCTGTTGTAGTCTTCTGAAGGTTCATTCTAGAAGGCAGCCAACTTGGTTCTGAAATCGAGTCCAAAATCTGTCCCCGCAGTGGTGGAGAACAGCTGAAAACTGCTCAGTTCTTTAAGGCTGGCTGCTGCTCCCCGGGGACCATGGAGTCTGCAGTTTCACAAACAGTCAGGCTTTGGGAAACGTTTATATGCAGATTAGGGAAAGAAGATTTACTACCTCTCTCACTTTCATCTTTCTAGAATGCTCCCCAAACTTCCTGGGTATCCTTCCAACTCCAAACTCTTCTTTATCAAGGCTGCACCCCAACCAATCTGGAGAGTGCCTTAGAAAGCAAAAGGCTACAAACTGCAAACACCAGCCTCTGCAGCTGGTCGTTCCAAGGTAAATACCCTTTGACTTGGGCCTGTTTTGGGTTTCTCCCCAGCGCCTCCAGATAGTATTTTTTATTTTTACCGTATTTTAAAATTGCCATCTGGACCAGCATCTTTGTCTTTGAAACAGTATATTCCAATGCTTTGTACACTGGCCATATCCCAGAAGACTGAGAGAAACAAATGAATATGATTCACAGTGACTATTTCTTCACCCTATGAAGGCAATCACCACCTTCAATCCTAATGACCCAGTCACAGTCTTTACCATATCTGAAACACTTCAACCACAACCATTCACAGGAAATAAAATGGAAAGGCAGGCATCTGCCACTAATATAGTTTCAGCAGGAGGCCAGAAACTGCATTTTGGGGAGCCCATTTTACCATACTATCCGCTCACATCATCTAAAAGGTCCAGTGAGCTAAACACACATTCCTTCATTTTAGTCTTTCTTTTCGGAGTTACATAAATTTACAACTGGTTTTTGGTATTGATCCTTCTATATCTTTTCTTACTTTGATCAAATGTCTCGTGTGTGTGAGTGTTCCTCCATATGACACTGTCAAACCTTTATTTATTATTATTATTTTTTTATCCTCATCCGAGGACATTTTTCCATTTTTTGTACAGACAGAGTGGGAGGGAGAGAGAGGAAGAGAGAGAGAGAGAGGGAAACATCGATGTGAAAGGGACACATCGAGTGGCTGCCACCCGCACGACCAACCAGGGCCGGGGACAAACTGCAACCGAGGTACGTGCCCTTAGCGGGAACCGAACCCGGGTCTCTCTGGACCACAGGTGGACGCTCTAACCGCTGAGCCAAACCGGCCAGGGCTGACACTGTCAAACCTTTAAATATCCTGGTAACACCTCCATCGGACATTCCTCCCATCTCTCCGTCAGCATCTCTGCACCCTGACTCTGGAGTGTCTGTGTTCATCTTAAACCTTCACACAATAGTACAGAAATAGTGCAGAACTAGGGGGACTAATGTCTTCCTTCATTTGGATATTATATTTCAAGTAGTAGATTATAAATTTTACAGGCTTTTATATTAGCCACATGCCAATGGTTCTTATTAAGCTTGAAATCAACTGGAAGTTGAATAGCAACCAACAACATCACTGGCTATGCGTGTCTATGATGAGATTCCTAGAACTGGTAAAAAGTGTGGAAGGTGTTTAACACAGACATTAGCCGTCAGCAGTTGGAACCAAATGTGGCAAAATAAAATATAGTTCCTATTTTTCTGTTCTTATTTTAAAACTAGTCTCTGATTTTTAAATATGGTATGATATCTTAGAAATCAGCTTTCTTTTTGCTTTCTAATTTCTAATTCCTAGATGGTGAAAATTAGTGATTACCACTCTGTCCTTTTAAAACTCTCATTTATAAACTGAAAGCAAAATCCACTGTATACAAATTTTACTGAAATTTGACTTATAAGTTGAAATGAACCTTTATATTTAAAGACCTATCTCTTTAAAGCTACCAGAGCCTACACAGTTTTCCTTTATTCTTGAAATTCTTGCTTATTGTAATCCTTAATAGAGAAAACAATCTAGACCAAGAACTTCAAAGTTAACATCACTTTATGTTTAAAAGCATAAAATAACAGTAATATTTTTTAAATTCACAAATAATTTTATGGAGGATTATAAGCATGATTTCAGCTTCGAAAGTAATAATCTAAAAAGTGTCTAACCATCCTCTTTGCCAGTAATGAACCAGACATCTTACATGTGGTTACATCATTTTTGTACTGAACTATGAAAAATGTTTTAGTATGGCAAAATTTCTGTTGTATCGAGCCTATAACCATGATTATTTTTATTTACTTACCAAAAGGCAGCTGATTTTCCTAGTCCAACACTAAATGGCAGTGTAACCTCGCAAACTATGCCGGGGAGGTAATTATTTATTCCCTTGAATTATCAGTCTGTTGTCAACTGAGTTATATACCTGTTCCTTTCAGTTTTCCATTCATAATCAAATGACAATATAACAATTAATGTGATAATATTAAGGGAAAAAGTGGATAACTATTTCTCACAAGAAGATAAAATAAGCAAGAAATCTGTGAGCTCTACTGACTATTATTTGAGTGACATAATTCCAGAGAGGTTGTAATTAATGATAAATGCACTTGCTACTCAATTAGACCTTACTTAATAGCATGTAACAGAGTCTCTGATGTATCCAAAGCTCATTTTCAGATATCATTTTTACACTTAGTACTTTTTTTTTATCCTCACCTGCGTACATTTTGCATTAATCTTCAGATAGAGTGGGAGGGAGAGAGAGAGAGAGAGAAACATCGATGTGAGAGAGACATCGAGTGGTTGCCACCCACACGACCCCTACCTGGGCTAGGGACAAACTGCAACTGAGGTACGTGCCCTTAGCAGGAACTGAACCCGGGACTCTGTGGTTCACAGGCTGACGATCTAACCGCTGAGCCAAACAGGCCAGAGCAAGTTACTGAGTTTTTATATGTCAATGAATTACCAATTGCTGATGTCCAATCAAATGCACAAAGGACAGAATCAAATCATCTGACTTCTCTGCTTTGAAATGATCTGTCATATCAATTCTTCATCTTGTAACTAACTTCATGGATCTCAATTTAGATACATTAAAAACTCACTATCTTACTTTTCCAATGAAATTTGAGCACACTTTAAGTTGCAAATCAAATTAAACATTTAACAATTACCAAACAAATTAATAAGTGAGCAAAGTGTTTTCTATATTTGAAGACTAATTTAAAACTATGTATTTTCTAATCTATCCTGAGTTTAACACACTGATCTGAAAGCCTGCTATCCTTCAGCAACAAGATCCCCTGGCCATGATACCCGCTCTTCTGATGAATCTTGAATGATGTATGCTTTCCTTTTAACACTTCATACTTGTGGCAATGACAGCTAGTTCCATGTGCCAGATGGTTCTTTTGGGAACTATCATTAGGAGTTACCTAAATATGTAGAAAGATAAGTACCTTATTCTACCTGTGATCTGTTACTCTACCAATGATCACATCAAACTCTGGGAGATGTTAGGAGAGCTAACAGCTAGGCAAGGGCCTCTTGGTCCTCATTTTCTTTGTATACCAAAGAGGCTGTCAAGCAAAGTAGAGACCTTTTATTTCTAAGGAGTGATTTTTAGATTCACATCTAAATAAAATAGAACCCATAAACTTGGCCTACAGTTCTTGAACCATACTGGAATCATATAATCAGCTCCATGAATGTGCATACAAACACACACACACACACCCCAACTCTCCAATTAGTATTAAGTATTACATTTTGTCTTTACCAGCATTTCAATGAACACTCTTCTTGCACTCATCCCCATTATGGTTTAGAGAGCCATTCCCCAAACAAAACCCCGCATCACATTTCTAAACGAAATTATATTGTCTTTCATGAGGAACAGTGATTTCATTTATACCTAATCTTTACCTTTTGTCTTTAAAAACTCAAAATGCACCATTCAAGACTAATTTAACATTCATTAACACAGAAAGAAGGCTTTTGCTTAAAATAATTTAGTGTTTAGCATCTCTGAAATAACTAAAGTATTAAAAAAATGATACTTAAAATATCATTATCCAATAATTCAATCATAAAAGTAATTACAACAAAGAAATAATTTTCACTCATAAGGTGAAAGGAAGAGTTTTATCTAAATATGATTCCTTGCTGTGTTCATTTGATTACTTGAACTGCATTAGAATAAAAAAATAATCCTTTACTTGAAAAAAAAACCCACCAGAACTCAAAAACTAAAAAGAAAAATGATGAAATCGACTCTTACCCAACAACTGCTAAAAGTCAATCAATGCTGTAAACAATTGTTTTTAAGAAGACACATGACTACTAGTAAAGAAAGAAAAAACAAAACAGAAAACCTACATTGCCAAAATTTCACAATATGAATATTACGGCTTATACTTTTATTAATCTGATAGATACCAAAGTTAGATTTTATAGATTATTTGAAATAGATAATTTGTAGCTGCTTGTAATATATATATATATATAAAAAACTTGTTTGTTTTAAGCTTAGTTTTAAAAAATCAGCATAGAGGAGAAATACATCCATTGAATTCTTCAACAAAACAGTATTATCCGTATTAAAATACTCTGAACAAACTTGTTAGCACTGTTTATTAGGTTTCTTTTTTTTTTTAATCCTCACCCGGGGACATTTTTCGATATTTTGTTCAGACAGAGTGAGAGGGGGAGAGAGAGAGAGAGAGAGAGAGAAACATCGACGTGAAAGCGACACATCGAGTGGTTGCCACCCACACGACCCAACCAGGGCCGGGGACAAACTGCAACCAAGGCACATTCCCTTAGCGGGAACCGAACCCGGGTCTCTCTGGACCGCAGGCCTACGCTCCAACCGCTGAGCCAAACCGGCCAGGGCATAGGTTTGTTATTACTGACTTACAGTAGCATATGAATGAAAACATACTGACTGTCAAGGTAGTTCTACCTTCCCTTTACCTTTTTTTCTGAATAGATTCATATGTAGCAAAAAACGAAGAAAGGTGTAAAATGGCTAAAGGATAGGTAATTATCTTCTTCCAGTACATTCCCCCTATAGATGATTTGCTAGGGAATATGTTTTGTTTTTGTTTTACCTCAATCTTCATTCACTAGTATATTCTACAGAAGTTGAGCAAGAAGTCTTATTTCCATTCCACAGGTTTATAAAATATCTCCTTTTAATTTATTCAAAAAGAGGCGACACACACCTCAGTGACCACCAAATCAAAAGATTTTTAATCAGTTTGTTCATTGCTGGAATTTATTCTATCCACTATGCTTTAGTTATACTGACACTATAAAACCTTGCTTTTATCAATTTGTATTATTTTTATTAGATTACTTGAGTAACTTTACTCAAACTACCAAACAGCTTTTGAACAAACTTCTCATAGCACTAAGCAACAAGGGGCACCTACCTACCACCAATTACTCACTGGTGTTTGCAATTACAGGCTTTAAATTGTGACATCTCACATTTTTTGGCAACTGTGTTTTCTAAGAAATAAACAAATCTGATTAACAAAAATATACACTCATATTTAAGTAATCGGTTCCCCCAAATTAAACAAATTTGACATATTAAAATAAGTCATGGAAATAGGAAAATATTTTTGCACTTTGTTCTAGTTAGGTAATTTGAGTAATCTGTACTTCTCTGAAAACTTCAGCCTCAAAGTGCTACTCTGTCTCTCTAGGTGGCTTCCATTCAAGAGGCCAATGTAAACATTTTCCAAGTAGTAAGACTGCAAAATAATGTCACCAATTGTTGTTTCATCAGAGTATAAACATATACTCCTACTTCTTTTAAAAGCCAACCAATATGAAACATATTTTAGTCTTTCCAGCATAACTTTCCAATATCATTATGAGTTATTGTCAAGTTTATGATGCAATTGATTATATCACATTTTTGCTAAAACAATAGAAAATAGAAACTTTTTCTGAAATACCCTTTTGGGAAAAAAATATGGTAAAGTACCTTTATTCAGGGTTCACTTAACTGAAACTAGAATACACAGCTTGGGAGTACTAATCTAAAGAAAAATGATTAATGGACATGCTTCTTTTTTCTTCATAAAATGACTTGCTTCATATGCTAAAACATAATGCTATAAAGACAGCTGATAACAAAAGGGCTCTGTCCTTAATAAAACCATGATTTTCAAAAAGAGAAAGTGAGATGGAACAAAAGATCTAATAAGAACAACAACATAAGAAATTGGAAGGCTCAGTTTGACAAATACTGTTAGAATTTTCATAAATGGTTTCTGAACACAAGTGAAGCCAGGGAAAAGTGACATATGACAGAGATAAATGGGTTTAAAATAAACAGCAAAACAGACCCAAAGTACAGCGATGCCAAGAACAGAACAAAACAAAAATCTGAAATCTGGGACAGCCATCAATCATAGCTAAGGAAATTGTCACCAACCAATTATATTTCCTGATGAATAAGCTTTCATCAATAAAAGAATAAATAAATGACAAAACTAAACCATGCCAAAAACAACTGTGTCAAGCAGTCTATTTCCTACGAGGGGGTACAGGTTGTTATTGAAATTGTGATTGCTGCATGAAATAATAAGTGAAATTCTAATAAGAGCATAATTTTCTAACATGGCTAAACAATATAATATTTAAATTAAAAGTCCCTCATTGTTGGCCAAACACTTATAAAACCAGGTAATAAAGATCAGCCTCATCCATGTTTGCAACAGTGTGAATGTGTTGCCCCTTCAAAATCCATGTGAAATCGGAAAGCCCAATGTGAGTGCGGGAAGAACAGCCTCTGGGAAGTACTGAGATCATGAGCTGAAGCACGAGTGGGTTAGTGCTCACAAAGCAGACCCCACAGAGCTCCCTACATCCGTCCACCACGTGAAGCGAGTAAGAGGCCTTTGACCTCCAAAGGTCCCTCACTTGACCATGCTGGCTACCCTGATCTCGGATTTCCAGGCTGTAGAACCCTAAGAAATAAATGTTTGTTGTTTATAAGCCACCTGGTCTCTGGTATTTTGTTCTAGTAGCCTAAATAGACTAAGACAATGTTAATCCGCAAAGATATCTTTCCAATAACGTTCAGGATCAGTTATGTCAGAACTCAGGGCCTTCAGTGCCGATTACTATTTTCAACCACCAGAGAAATTCCATCTCTGACACGGCTAAGGCCCTTCAGTAATTTTACACCTCTACAAGTTAAAAAACTATACTATTTTTCTTTGAAGTTCAATACTGATAATCATAATGATATTTCAGATCATCTTATATACTCTTTGGGTAAAATCTTTACATACACTCCCTCCCTCTCAATGAATCAAGAGTCAGAAACTAATTTGGACAAAAATCCTCATATCCATTGCCCTTCTTCCCATCCCCCACTGAAACTCAAGGCAAGACAGTTCTGCACAACTGTCCATCCACATGACGGCTTCCTCTGTTCTCCCTGCAGGCGGAAAAAAGAGCAGGTCTCCACTCTCCTGACACGGTAAGAGTCCCCGGTAACCATGGCTGTGCATGGGAAGGATACAGAATGGCCATTTTCTCCTATATGCTATTAGAATGTTCTGTTTCTGATCCTTAGTGTGCTTAGCCGGGGAGCCTCAGAATGCAGGTTTCCTACTCGGAATGTTAACGAAGAGCCAAACTTCAGGACAAAGAGTCAGGGCTGCGGCGGAAAGCTTTCTCTCTAAATGCAGCGAGCGACTCTCACAGCTGTGGGTATGAACAGGGAGGGGACAGAGCTGGCTGCAGAGCCGCTGAGAGGCTGCTGTATTCTGAAACAAGAGAAAAGTATATGCAAGGCCTGTTTCTTAATTTGTGTTACATAAGAATCTGGGGGCCGGGACAACAAGGGGAAATGGGTTGTTAAACCCTAACATCTTTCACATATGAAAAGTAGACTGCAATGTCCAAGGATGTATAAAAATTACCTTTTTCACTGTTTTATCTGGTTCAAGAGCAATATCTGGAATGTTTGCATCCACCATCAAGGAAAACAAGTTCAAAATCAGATTAGAATACCTAAAGAAGAATGGGAAAGAAAAAAGTTAGCAATGCATTTGAACTATGCAGTTCTTCTCATACCAAGAACACGCCTAGAAACAGTGGTACTTGAATCTTTATCATAATTACTGTTACTCCGATGGAAAACAGAATGTGAGACTATTCACCAAATGTCTTGGTGAAAAGCAAGCCTCAAAAAAAATATCTTATTCTGGGGTCTTGATATAATACCACTTCTTTCTTTTTTTTCTTTTAATTTTCACCCGAGGACATTTTTGCATTTAGCTTCAGAGAGAGTGGGAGGGAGAGAGGGATGAAGAGACAGAGAGAAACATCGATGTGAGATACATCTAGTGGCTGCCACCCACACGACCCCACCAGGGCCAGGGACAAACTGCAACCAAGGAATGTGCCCTTAGCGGGAACTGAACCCGGGACTCTCTGGTGTGCGGGTCGACGCTCCAACTGCTGAGCCAAACTGGCCAGGACGATATAATACCATTTCTAGGTCCTACATTATGGAACAAACTTTTGGAGTAACCTTCTAATAATGACTTTTTTTCTGTTTTTAGGAAGCATATTCTTTTTGATGGGGTCTAAGGAGAATCTACCTTACATACCTAATTAACATTTTACTTTGCAAAATGATGACAAGGATCTGCCACTTTAAGACCACCCCAATGCCATGGGCAAATGAATGAAAGGGAAATACTGCCATCTCCCTAATCATGCAGGAGTTACTAATACTCCAGGGATACTAATCACCATTTTAGAACCACAGTGTACGGGCTGAATATAAGCAATGCTAAACGAAGGAGAAAATAGCTAGTACTCTACTGTATTAAAAATGAGCAAGATATTTAAATAATGTCATCCTTGGATTATGCTGACCCCAACAGGAACTAAAGGCTTATCCTCACCAATCCTCAGACTTTTCACCTTAACTCCAAACAAACGGAAGAAATGTTCCTGTTCCACATGTTCATGCCCAGAGGTGACGCCTGGTGGGGACAGGGGTAATGCGTGCAGGCAGGCACAGTCCACCTGCTGTTCAGGACACCCTCCTGCAACAGCCAGGCTCTCGGCGGCCCTTAGCACTCCAGTGATGAAAGGAGATTCAGGCTTGACTCTGGAGTTGGATGTGAGTAAAGAAAGCTTTGGTTTTAGGCAATAAAGATTTTCAGCTGGTCTGGGGTATCAACACAGAAGCCCTGCACTGTCTTCTCTAGGGGCCGGAGGTCAGGATCTGGGAGATGCAGCATCTTTACTGCAGCCATCGACCTATCCGCAATATACAAAAGTACAACCTGTTACACAAATACTATGTAATATGAAACTATTAATGATAACAAAACTCATACACAAAAATGAGTATCCATATAAACCTCAAATTTCCTATTTTATCATTTCTGAAGTTTGTATTGCCCATAAAAGTCAAGAGGGACTATAATGAAAATTTCTACCTTTATGTAATCTATCAAATTAGGCTCTAACTCACTTATTCTCTTTGAAAAAAAAAGTATAACAGCCAAACAGTTTTAACTTAGCTTTTAGTTACTGGTCTCCTTGTGGGACTTGATAAAAAGCATAGCACAGGTGTTATTTCACTTTTACTCATATAATTCTATTCATTTAACCAACAACTCTTTACTGAGCACTCACTCTGTACTGTCCTAGACACGAAGGGTACAGTGGTGACTGAACAAACAAAGCTCCTACATTCATGAAGCTCATATTCTGGAGGAGGTGGGGGACTCATACAATAAACTAATAAAGAAGATAACCTCATACCTAGTTGACTGATAAAATATTTTAAAAATAAAGTAAAACAGGAGAATGGTCAGAGATCGATGGGATGGGGAGAGTGGTCACCTTAAGAAAGTATGATTTTATTCTAAATGCACTGAGAAGCAACCAAGATTAAAGAGTGGAACGTCACACTCAGATCTGTATTTCTGAAAGCTCACATTGGCTGCCCTGTGGGGAACAGAAAGGGAGACAGGGAAACCTTCACAGATGTCCAGGTGGAAGAGAAACATTATGGAGGTGTTCAAGCTATATCGTGGGGATGGAGTGGAGGAGACTGGCTGATGTGAAGTAGGGAGAGAGAACAGAGGGACTGAACCTCACCAATGATTTAGCCTGAGTATGGTTATTGATCAAAATAATAATGAACGAAGGAAGGAAGAACAGGATTTTGGGCAGGGAATCAAGAATTCCATTTCAGACACATTGAGTTTGAGATGTCTACTAAATTCTACGTAAAGATATCAAGTAGGCAGTTAGATATATCTCAGAGAAGTCATCAGCATTTGGCTCCCATTTCAAGTTACAAGTCCGGGTTAAATGCTTAAGGAGAGAGTTAAGAGAAATAACATCCGGAACCCTTGCACTGATAATGGAAGTTCTAGACAGCTCAACAGGTAGAGGTAGACAGAACAGAAAAGAAATCAGCAAAGCAGCAGAAGTGGCCAGTAAAGAAAAAAGAAAATAGGAAAGAGGGCGACACTAAATATAAGAAAGGCTTTGAGAGACAAAGATGTGGTCAACTATGTCAAAGATGCTAGGAACAAAAAGGGCGACTGGATTTGGTACAGACATGCCTGTTTATCTTGATAAAATCAGTTTCAATGGCAGAGCAGCACTGCAAGCCTTCCCAGAGAAGGCTGAAGAAAACAAACAGGCAAGTAGGTGGAGACAGTGAGGACGGACCTGTTCAAAGCGGACGTGCGTGAGGGAGCGAAGAGAAACGGCCGCAGCGCAGTGCTCGGTGGCATCCCTGGCCTCTCCCCGCCAGATGCCAGGGGCACTCACCCAGCTGTGACAACCAGAACTCCCCAGACACTGCCAGATGTGCTGGCGCAGGGGGCAAAGCAGTTCCCAGTTGAGAGCCACTGATTTAAAACCCATCGTTTCCTTTAGTAACAGACAGCTGTCCCAGGAAACAGGAAGACAGACGCTTCTGATTGGAGTTGGAGTTTCATTCAGCAGGTGAGACTACAGGACTGGATTAAACATGCACCAGATGAGTTTAGAGGGAGGGGCAGTACGAGTAATAACACTGTGGGGCAATGAAATTCAATGGGGAAAGGAGAAAGGTGGGATGTGAGGTAGATTACATATGGCGGCAGTGCCAAGACTGGAGGTATCAGTGAGGATGAAGACTTGTAGGAACAAGGACACCTCCAAAAAGAGCTGCAAGGACACGTGCTGGTCATCAAGACCGTGGAGGGGCAGATTCACTGGTGCTGATGGAGGGACTGGCCGGGCGGGGTCTCAGTAAGGAGGACAAGGCCCTCAAGGGCAGGCCACGCTGGACTGCCGTGTGGACACTGAAGTCATGGCGACAAGGGGGGTTTTCAGTGATGAGACTGACAGGGAGATGATTAGCAGTGGGTAGCAGGTCTGAGGGTGATCTCATGCTGTGGGCATGTCTATGTTTTTCTTCTGTAAATAAAGAAACAGCAAGAAAAGAAATAGTTTGGAACTGACAACAGGGAGCAAGAAGGGCACAAAACTTTCGCTGCGCTCCATGCTCTGTAGGATAATGGAAATAAAGAAAAGGGTCTACCTGAGAGGGCGCAAGGACCACAGTGCATACAGAGTACAGCCAACTGCTACGAATTATGTTATGGAAAAAAAATAGATGTTTTTTCAATAAGCCCTCTATTGCTTATGCTCTGCTTTGTGGACTGCATCTATTTCCTCTCAGTCTTGCCACAGCAGAATCTCAGGGAGGGGATCCAAGGCTCAGTTTTGAAGGTGATATTTCAGAGTTTCTCAAACCTGGCGGCCCATTAGATGCGCCTGGGGAACTTCTTTTCCGTATCAGTGCTGGGCCCAATCCCAGACCAATGAACTCCAATGGGGCCCAGAATGACCCCCTCTATGTAAGTGTCTGCCTTCACATAAGCAGAATGTATTTCTCTTTTTAAAGGCAAATATTAATGTGTTATGATCATACACTGGTTCAAATGTAACCACTCATGCTTCTATTATTATGTAAGGAGAAGAGAATGTCAATAGACATAAAATAGAATAGTATATAAGAACCTTAAATATCCAGTTACTCTATGGGTGATGTGTCGCTACCTTTACTGAATGAATCCTTTACATATTGCCATTGACCTGTATTTTCCATTAAAGACAGAACAAAGTGACCCAAAACATAGAGTATATCTTAGTCATTCAAAATCCTACCCCCAAAAAACAGATTTAAAGGTTACTCTGAATCTGTAAAACCCTTGTCAAAAAACATATAAAGCCCTGGCCGGTTTGGCTCAGCAGTTGGAGCATCAAACTGAGGACCAGAGAGTCCCGGGTTCAGTTCCCGCTAGGGGCACGTACCAAAAAATAAAGAAAAAAAAAGAACATATAAGGTTAAGTTAGAAAAAAATGATAGAGTGGGAAAAGTGTGTAAAATCAATCAAGTCTATACAAAGATATAAGGATGAGAGTGACATAATTTAATTTTTTTGGAAGGACTGGGTTAAGTACAGTGTTCAGTTCCTGCTAGGGGCATGTACCAAAAAAGAAAAAAAAAAAAAAAGAACATATAAGGTTAAGTTAGAAAAAATAATGATAGAGCGGGAAAAGTGTGTAAAATCAATCAAGTCTATACAAAGATATAAGGATGGGAGTGACATAATTTAATTTTTTTTGGAAGGACTGGATTAAGTACAGTGTTCAGTTCCTGCTAGGGGCACGTACCAAAAAAGAAAAAAAAAACAAAAAAAACCCCACAACATATAATGTTAAGTTAGAAAAAATAATGATAGAGTGGGAAAAGTGTGTAAAATCAATCAAGTCTAGACAAAGATATAAGGATGAGAGTGACATAATTTAATTTTTTTGGAAGGACTGGGTTAAGTACAGTGTGCAAGGAAAATGCACTCTTTCTTTCACACGTTTATGCCAACAACACACACCTGGTTACACAAAGATGGTCTACGTTTTCTAGTAAAAGCCTTCAATACTAAAAACAAATGCATTTAAGTTTATCAAGTGTGATTCTTACA